ATAAACATACGTCAATACGCAACGGTGAACTCGGCATCAGTTCCCGCCTACAAGCTAACTACTGGAAGCAAACGGGCTGTTGGCCAGCGCGTGCCTGATGTCCTCTGCTGCAACGCTCTTCTTGAATAGACTGACCCAGCTACTCAAAATATCGAAATGAAAGTCTTGAAATGCCTTGAGCTGGAAGAAGTCAGGAAACAAATGAGGAATGTTTGGGTACACCATCAACTTGGTCTCCACCCCCGCCTCCCTCAACGCCCTCTCATAGATGAGGCCATCATCTCTGAGGGGATCTGCACCGCTGACCTGTATGTATGTTGGCGGCATTCCATGATGCGGATTTTGGGCGTTGAACGGAGAAAAGTCCCGGGACTTGAGATCAGGCTCATAGGCGATGTTGAAAATGTCCATAGCCTGCTGATTCAATCCAGGAGCCTCGGCGCATTGTTCTCTGGAGAAGAAGACGTCTTTGTACTTCTCGGGGACCACCTCGGGTTCGAGAATCCATGGAACGCCAAGCCAGAGCCCGGTGACGGGAGGACTCAGTCCCTCGTCGAGTGCCTTCTGCGTCATGACCGTGGCCAAGTTTCCTCCTGCCGAGACGCCTCCTACCACGAATCCTGCCGCCAGGTCAACCTGAAGCGTCTCCGTGTTCTTCGTAATCCACTGAATCCCATCCCACACATCGTTCGGTGCAGTGGGAAACTTGTGTTCCGGGGCTCGGCGGTAAGACAAGTTGATCACAGTGACACCCAAAAGCTTCGTGGCCAGCCGGGCATGTGGGCTCAACTGGTCGCAGTCACCGAACATGAAGCCGCCGCCAAACAGCAGTACTAGAAGCGGATGTTTCCCTTCCGCAGATGGCTTGTGGACGCGAGCTTCAGAGGAGAAGCCATCTCGCATGGTGATCTTGACGGAGTACTCGGTACTCGTGTCTGGTTGCTGTGTCGCGATTCGCTGGGCTTCCATCGCGGATCGAAGTTCGGCACTTGGGGGCGCAAGAGGAGGAAAGGGGTGCGCCTTCATGTGCTGATCAAACGGTCAGAATGCTGTTACTGGCGATTAGGGTACTGAAGGGCCTGTATACGAACCTCTTCAAACTCGGTTCTATCCAATGGTTCAATTAGTTTCATGACTCAGAGGAGTAAGCCATTACAGGCACATGAACGTACGACAGGACGCCCAATGGCGCTATCTTTTGTCTAGTATCATACTCCATCTTGAATGTGGAGGATCGTCAAGCAATGAACGAAGTGAAGTGTAAATAATGCTCGCGCGATTACTTACGAAGCCAACAAATCCAACAGGCTGGAACGACATGACACATTGGGCGATTTCAGTAAATATAGCTCTTGATGCGGGGTAGCGATTCTTAGATCCGTTCATCACCCCAACGATTGTCCGTCTACACCGACTCGTGAACGAGTCTTATCGGCTCCCACATGCTCCGCCATACGGGCAAACACCGAAGTCCCGACAGCTGAACTTCACGGCCTACGATGCGATAATCCCTGGAATATCAACTCCACTATCCACGAATAGCGGCCTTTCGGAAACATCAAAGTCCGCGAAAGCCACACTCCGACATTATGCATAATTGGCACCCATGGATTGGGGCTTTTAGGAGCTGGATGTCCATGTCAGCCACATTTGAGGCTGCCAAGCGAATATTGGGTCACATATGACATAGTGATAACAGAAATGACGCCGTGAGATCAAATGAGGTTGATTACTACCCATCATCACGCCCAAAGGGTTTTACGTGCGCCTTGTGAAGCTGACATCAAAGCCGTAAACTATTGCATAGAAGACCAATTTCACGTCTGATGTGCGTTGGTGCTAGCATGAACCGGTTGTTCGCTGAAGCCATTGCCGCCATCGACGCTGCAAGCTTTCCTTTTCGTGCCAATTGATGCCTAGTCATCCATCTCTTTCCACTACGCAGGTGGCTGGTATTCGCTTGAGAGATAGCCGCACCAGAGGATACCGTCCTCGTTACGGATCTTGCCGTCTGATGAACGGTCAACGGATTTAGCAATGAACGGAACAATCACGGGTTAACAGAGCAAATGATACTGACTGAGATTGATGGTGCTCGTCGGGTCCTTAAACTGACTGACTGACTTGCAGAGGCATTTCATGTCGTACTGATCCTTCTCCTGGTCGACGATCTTGCAGTGTCCGCATTCGTCGTCGAAGAGGCCCCTGAAAACAATTTACCGCATTAGAGAGGTTGCAATTAATGGGTTGAAAATCAGAGAGAAGAAAACTTACAACTTTCGCCATCCCATTTGGCCATCGAAGTTGCCAATGCAGACCGCGAGATCGAGCGTGTTATCCTTGTAACCGCCATCTCTGGCTCGGCATGAAGCTTCAAGGGAAACAAGCTGTCCATTGCCATTGCCCTCACCCCCCTTTGGACGCAAAGTCAACTTATAATCCTTGCAACTCTTCTTGAACCAGCCGCCGGCGGGGTTGCCTGGCACAATGTCGGCGGCGGCGGAGCCAGCAATGGAGGCGAAGACGAGGGTGGTAACGGCTGAGGCGAACTTCATCTTGACTGATCCAGTGACGAGAGTGTATTGGTACGGTAAGGGGTGGGAAAGCAGAAGGTCTGCAGGGAGGTCCCGAGAGGATAAGCGGCGATCGTTGAAAGATATTTAAACTGACGTTTACCTTCGAAAGTGAAGTTTGTTTCGAAAGAAGCAGCAGCGAGCCATTTCACGCGCAAAGAAATGGTAAGAGCAGTCACGGCCGTACCTTCCTGGTATACAAGCAATCAGATCGAGGTCAGAAGTTCGGTTGTCAGTCAAGTGATCATTGGAGACTAAAATCTTAACATTCCTGACGGGAGAAGGCGCCACTTTGCAGGGCTCTTTCTTAATCAAACTACGAAACAGGAAGTGAGTGGCTTGGTTTACGGCCCCAATTTGCGAATATCTTTGTCTCGAGATAAATTCAAGGCAACCGTGCGTTGCTCGTACGACGACCATTCCATTATGGCTTTCATGACAATATGCAGTTTGTGTACTCATGTAGTACAGGACCTCTAGGATTTCCTCGGGTGTCATTTGGAGGCTGTTTGTTTCGTGCTACACAGAGACCTACTGATTTTCCTGAGGGCATTGCCACCCCCCAGCACTTTATTAGTTTCTGATGACAAGAGACCGGAGACGCAAAATGATAAGAAATTACCATGGTTCAAACCAAGTTTCTGTTTTGAACGAAGTCACAATGTCTCTGTTAGACTGCACTTTTTGAAGGAACTGCCGATGTGGTGAAAGTGGGTTCAAAATACTGATTTTAATACCTTCTCCGCTTGAAAGCTCAAATAAGCGTAAAAGATAGAAAAGTCAACCAGCAGGTGTCAAGAACGGGGTTCTCGGCGGTATATTTGATTCCAGCCACTCGGATCTGTTGAGTTCAATGGGTTGTCCACCTCAGTGCTTCGTCCTCTACCGGTGCGGAGGAGACTCATCAGTTCAGATCTGCGTTAAACGCATTAGTCTCAAAAATCTTGCAGAATGTTTAAAAACTCCTGCGATGATATATTTCCAGTTCTAGATGTATCATGCTGACATATGTCTACCTATGGTCGTTTCATGTACCAGTAGACTCCCATTCCAACACCTGCTACCACTGCTAGCCTCTCCACCAGCTTACGCAGCAACAATCGTTCGCCTGCTCGGTGTCCTTGCCTCTCAAAGAAATCTGCTCCTGAGTTTGTCCACGGATATGGCGTCTCGGGCACCGGCACGTCGAGAAACTTGCACAGCGGAACCCATCCATCCTTCGGACCTGAGAATACAAGCATCCTTTCCGGAGTCTCGCGCGTAATGGCTTCGATGCGGACATGATGCTCGTCGTATGGTTTCCGTCCCGGCTCTGCCTCGGCCCAGCCTCCGTAAGCCGTGTCCATAATGAGGCGCAGAAACGGCCACCATGCGGCGCGAAACGGGTCCAAAGGATGAAGTAGGCGGAAGACAAGGGACCGGCGCAGCTTGAATACGGTCTTTTCCATTGACGCACGCCACGGCTCATAGTCGCGTTTTGATACGATGATCCGTGCTTCTGGGTAAGCAGCGGCGAGATCTTCGGCAAAGAGCAAGGCGTGAGGGCACTTCACGACGTCGTAATCCCCGAGCAGCTTGTCAAACTCTTCACGACCGTAAGGCTTACAGCGGCCGTGGTACTTGGCTTCGATGGCTTCGGTCCAGAGAGGAATTGTCTCTTTCCAATTTGGCCACATGGCCTGGAATGAGAAGACTTTGTAGCCAAGCTCTTCAAGGGCGCTGTTGAGGGCTGTTCATCGAGGTCAGCATCCGAAAATCAGTAGAGTTGAAAGTCAAAATTGAGGCAAGGTTTGGGATGAACTTCGCCAATTGGAGCACTCACATTCGGTTGCAGTCCGAGGGAGCCCAAGAAGAAGCAGCCGCATGGGGCGCGTCCTCTTCTTTTGGACGGAATCAATGAGGCGCGTATTTTGTGCCATCTTTGCGTCTCTTGACGTCAATCTTGCTGTTGAAATTGATGAGTTGAATTGATTCGTGGCTCTTTGGTCTTTATTTCATCCACTACCCTGTCATTCGTCGTCCACTTCTTCAGCTGAAGCCCACCGGCGCGTGCCGGATAGTGCGGACAAGCTTTCCACTACAACAGGAGCATGTCCTAGCACTATTGTCACACATATAGCTGACTCGTATTCGTCCCGAGGCAGTACGGAAAGTCTAAAACGTCGGAACCTGGAGCTGAACTCAATTTGAAGCTGATCCATCAGCTCGGGTGCGGGCGTGTCTCCAGCAGAAGAGTCTACACCCCCCTTCTATTGTGGAAGAGAAGTCGAGGAGCAGTTTTATTGTCACTATCCTGAGATATGCTTTAGATCTTGAAGATCATGACGATCTCAGTGGAAAAGGACGGAGAAGCAGCGGCATTCATTTGGACCTCTTGGAAACCGACATATTTGCAGTAAGCACGCATATTCTCTGACTCTTTCTTGTCTAAGTCATCTGCTGCGGGTCCCCATGAAACCATTTCAAAGCCTGTAACACCACAGTTCCCAAATCCTCACGTGTACTGGGGATCATAATGTCAAAATGGTCTCCCTCGACAGTACTTTGTCGCAAAACAGGTCCTGTCAGTAGTCGCCACTTTTCAGTCAGGCTGGACGTCACATCTACTGATCGTGATTCCTTCAACCAGAGATCTTGATCAGATCTGTTCGTCTTTCTCATGGTGCCGTCTTCTATCTCGTATCGAAACTGCAAGACCTTCATTGGAAAGAGATCGAAATTTCCATAGGCGGACCATACCAGCTGCACGGGTACCGAGTTGTTGTTCGCGTCCATGCCCAAAGTCGGGAGGTTGTAAGCGCTATTCATGAGTATGAGATGCAGCATGTGGTTTCTTTGCCACTCTGGCATGGCATTCGTTCGGCCTCCAGACCATTCGAAGAAGCCTGTTGCCTCAAGATGATCCAATGAGATCGCGTTGGGGCTGCAAGAGAGCTCTGACGTGAGTTCCGCGTATGACTCAATGAGAAGCAGTCCGGCAACCGTTTCTCCCTGTTGCATGAGTTGCCTCGCACACTCGTAAGCGAGGCGGCCACCAATTGACCATCCCCCGACCAAATAAGGTCCCAAGGGTTGGAAGCGACGAATTGTTTCGACCATAATGGAGCAATACCTCTCCATAGAAATGCGAGGAAAGCTGCTCATACCATAAAATGGAGACTCCAGAGCATAGATGCCAGTGTTGGTCTGGGCGGACAGGTGCGGTGGAAGGCCTGCGTACACAGAACTGCTCCCGGAGGCATCCGGAAGCAGAAATAAGGAGCGTGTGCAGCGACTTGAGCCCTGCAACAGCACAATTCTGCTTGAAAGGTCGGTGCTGCTGGCGGAGACCGTTGCGGCTGCATCTCGGTGAGCGCCGTGTGTATCACTTTGCCCGGCAACAATCGCTCCGAGATGACTTCCTGGCTTGGTCCTCCCGTCCACATCTGTTGACATTAGATTGCAGCATATTGCCGAGAGATCATTGACCGTTTGCGCCTCAAGCAACGATATCAACGGCACTTCGATCCCTAGCTGGATTCTAATGGCATCTGCCACAGTGGGCGCCACCAAAGAGTCCACACCCAGGTCTGCCAGTGAAGTTTCTTCTTCAATCTCTGCGGGGTCGGCATAAGTCTCTTTGGCAAGAATTGAAATGAGCTTGCAAACCTGTCCATTCCGGTTGTTTGAATTTGTCTGCTTGGAGCTGTTGTTCGACCCGTTGTGTGACAAAGTTCTGTTCAAGGCCGCCGTTGCCGAGGGCGCAGTGACCTGGGTCGAATTTGACAGCTTTTCAGTTCTCTCGGTCGTGTTGATAGAACTTGTGAATAAGTCTGGCTTTGGTTCACTCTTGTCTTTGAGCCTGTGAAACAGCATGCCAGTTATAGTAGCTACTGGGCGCAGATCGTGCTCCTCGTCGAAAACTGTAACGCTAATGATAACGTCACCTGAGCTGTCCGACTCTCCCTTTACATAGCAGGTGTAGACGTTGTTGTTTACCGGAGCTTCCCAGAAGCGGATGCTTGCACACTCATTCAGAACATACACCGCTCCAGGAGTAGCGCTGACGCTCATGTTCACTGTGAAGCCAGCAGCTTGCATCGCACCATCCAGCCAGAACGGATCCAACATAAATGCCTGCTTGCCTGGCTCCCTCGCTGTTGTCATGAGCTTCGCGGAAGCTTCGTAGCCAACAGGCGACAGTACGATATCATGAAGGACATGATACTCCGGAGCGTAATGCATCACTGGTGCCCACATCTTGTAAATCATTGTCCGTGTGAGACGGTTCGCGTCCGTGTTATTTCGCAGGCGGGTCATACGCGATACTGCTCGGAGGAGAGACGTTGCTGTAGTCTCGACACCAAGAACGTTAAGATTTCCTGTCGTCCGCACAAAGCAACTTGCATGGTGTACTCCACGTTCGCCCGAGAAGGTCACGGCGTATCCTGGAACTCCTCTGACCTTCTCCACACTAGTATGAAGAATATGAACTGGATTGACACGCACGTCGTCGTGTATTGTGACAGCTGCCTTCAGACACAATGACCTCAATTCAACAGTGTCAATTCTGGAGAGTTCGCCTATGAGCTGTGTCGCGGCGTCGAAAGCCATGTCAATCAGCACGCCTGCAGGACAGATGGCCTTGCTTCGTATCACATGGCCAAGTATGAGACTCCTGAAGGGTTGTTCCTGAAGATTCGTCTTGCGCATTACCCTGAGGCAGTGGTCTTCATCATCCTCATCCTCATCTGTGGTAGGGGTGTTGATGGTGATTAGTGACGATGATCGTGAAGTCGACATCGGCGATGAAGAGATAGGCCGCTTTTGATGAAGGGGAATCCAGAAATCTTTGAGGTCGAATGCGTAAGATGGCAACTTCAGCAGCCTTCCGGCTTGTTTCATTGATTTGTGATAGGCGCTCCAGTTGATGTCAATCCCGGCATTGTAAATATTCGCCAAGCCGAAAGCGATATTGTCAATACACCCATGAGTACTAGTACCCATCGCATCAAGTACTTCTGCCAGATATCCTCCAGTTGGACTGATGTTAGCAGCGGTCATGTCTTTGCATATCCGCGTCGGTGAGATAGTCACAAAAATCGTCTTCCGGCCCGGGTTCAAGTCGATTGCAGATTGGATAGCTTTGGCAAAAAGGACTGGCTGGCGAGTGTGCTTTACCAAATGCTCTGACCAGGACGGGCAGGAGTCCACACGTGATCCAGTCATGGTCGACACAAGGTTGATCTCTGGATGGTCTTTGAACAGGACCTGTTTGGCGCTGCATCGCAAACTCTCCAGGATGTTGTTCATTTGACCGGTATGGAAGGCATACGGTGTTCCCACCAGGGCACTCTTGATATTCTGGTTCTGAAGACGGCTTTTCAGCTCCAGGACGTCGTCAAAAGACCCGCCAACAACCGTCTGTGAAGGCGAGTTCTTGCAAGATATTTCCACGGGACAGTCTTTTATGAAGGGAATAAGACGTTCCTCCTCGGCAAAGACAGCAAGCATGCGTTTCGTATCGGCCTTGCAAAGCTCTTGCACCAGACCAGCACGAGTCCCTACGAGCCAGATCGTATCTGAAGCAGATAGAATGCCAGCCAGGTGAAGCGCGGCATATTCTCCGAGGCTATGGCCAAGTACGACTGAGGGCTGGATGCCCCAAGCCTGCCACATTTTGCAGAGAGCAAGCTCGAACACGAGGAGTGCAACCTGCTCCAATACTGCATTCAACGAGGCCTCTTCTGATTCTGGGGAAGTAAGGTGATCGAGTACGCCAGAAAAGCCCAGCGAGTCGCACAATTGGCTGTAATCGCATATGGCTTGCCTGAAGATGTCGTTATGGCCGAACAATTGCTGGGCAGCACCAGCCACCTTTCCACCCTGTCCAGAAAACACAAAAACAACGTTTGGAGGCTGTGATGGCCGAGATGACTGAGCTGATGATTTATCAGTTGCTTCCGTGCCATCTCGAAGCTGCCTGGCAACGTCCATGGTGTCTTTAGCTGTGTATGCAGTCCGGTATGGATAATGGCCCCGCCTCTCACATGCAGTGTAAGAGAGGTCATTGATGGGTGTGGTGGGGTTCTCCTCCAGAAACTCGAGTAGCCTCAGCCTATTGGCCTGGAGAGCAGAAGGGGTCTTGCCCGAAACTGTCACGACTCGGTGATGTTGTTCGGTCGTTTTGGCCTGTCGTTGGTTGGGGTGCTCTTCAGCCAGGCTTTTGTTATTCGTAAAGCTTCCGACCAACATGCTGGTGTTTCCACCGGCTGCCCCAAAACAGTTAATAATGATGTTTGCGGGGGCTTCATAATTCTCCACTTCCTCTTCTGCTATCAAAGACTCCTGTCTCAAATTGATAGAAATGTCCAGCTTGTCCAGATCAGGGAAATGATGGTTTGCAGTGGTTCTGACCCCAATGTGTGGAGGTATTTGACCATGACGAATCATCAGCAGCGCCTTGATGAGTGCTGAAATGCCAGCCGCACCTTCACTATGTCCGATATTGGCCTTGACACTGCCAATCCGTAGTTTTCGAGACGAGTCGTTGAGCACACTACTGCGACGGCGCTGGTGGCCGCCAAGGACAGCTGCCACCGCCTCAACTTCAGCACGATCGCCAGCTTGAGTGCCCGACCCGTGCACCTCGACATACGACACGTCTGCAGGATACCTTAAAGACTGTCGGAGAACCTGACGCAACAAAGACTTTTGGGCCTCTGTAGAAGGACGCGTGATGGGATTGGTGTCAGTTGAGTGATTTGTGGCAATACCCCTGACAACACCGTGTATCACGTCGCCGTCTCTGCGAGCGTCACTCAAGCGCTTGAGAACCACAACAGCGACCGCTTCGGCTCGAGTGTAGCCGTCTGCCGCGGCATCAAAAGTCTTGCAGGCTGTAATTGAGGCACCCAGGAAGCCACCGCAACCAAGCCCGGCGTACATGCCTACATCTGCAGCACCTGAGATGATACTAGCGCCGCCAGCAATTGCCATATCGCACTTGCCTCCTCGGAGAGACTGAATGGCGAGATCCAGAGCCATGGCGCTCGAAGAGCATGCAGTATCAACAGACACTGATGGGCCATCCCATCCAAAGAAGTGATTCAGACGCCCCGGACCGAATGCACGCATGCCTCCAGTCACGTAATAGGGGTCATCCTGTGTCATGTTGTGTTCACGCCAGTCGTCTGTAGCTTGTCCAACGAAAGTACCCACGTGCTTTGTATGAATAGATGGATTGTATCCTGACATATCCAAGGCCTCCTGGGTCGTTAGTAGTAGAAGGCGCTGCGACGGGTCTGTCTGCAGAGCAGCTCTACCGGACATATTGAAGAATTGCCGGTCGAAGTGGCCTGCTCTATCAATGAAGCATCCAGTTGGCATTGCCGAACTGTATGCTCCAGAGACTCTTTCCTGTGGCATCTTCAGGTTTCGTCAGCATGCTGAACGAGGCAGTCTTTGTTGCTTACATGTATACATACCTGACTTGATGTGTCGCGGCCTCCACAAAGAATTTGCCACAACTCGTCGACACTCTCAGCCCCGGGAAATCTACCGGAGTAGCCCGTGATAGCAATCAGGTTGTTTTCATCATCGTCCCCGCAATCTTCTCGGCTCTGTTGATGACTGTCTTTCACTTTGTAATTTCGGTCCTCTATCTTGTGTTGACGACGGTCGAGGCTAAGTCCAGAGATCGTTTGGACTTGGCGACCATTGGCTGTCAGACGATGATGAAATGCATTCCACTGAGATGCCGGTCCAAAAGTGTAAAGTTTTGGGATAGAAGTATCTGGTTTCAAGAAATCCGTCAACGCCCCAAGAACTGCTGATGGACGCGACGGGCGCTGCAGGATGTCACGGATTGCCTGTCGCAATACGTCCCGCAATGAGCCGCCTTGCAACACCTCGCCGGTGCTTGATGACAGAATTCTCACTCTGGGTGGAATTGGCGCGTCCAAGAGAGGAGAACACCCAAGAATATCGTCGTAACTAGAATCAGGTGATGACGCGCTTAGCTACCGCTCTCCATACGCCTATTTCAGCTTGAAAGGTGTGCTCTTACGGTGGTTCTCTAAGATGTTCTGCGTGGTACGCAGCAAAGATTGGCAAGTCTTTCTTTGTTACATTACCAAAGACACTTGAACGGAGAAGACGCAGAGTCGAGGGTGGCCCAGAAATGACCGACCATTCATCCAGCTCATAGCTCAGATACCCGCGCTTATAAACAGGTGTCTCCTGGGTGAACATGTTAGCAGTACATCCCATCGTAATTATTGTCGACACAATGAAGATATGGGTAACTTTAAGCACGCATGACAACACAGGAAGCAGAAAGGTGTCTTACTGTATAATCTTTGCAATATGTCAGGGCATCCACACAGTCATGTCTTGGTAGCTGAACTGCAACAGCCCATGACAAGCCCGGACGATCCTCAATTTCTCGTGATCGTTGGGTGGCAAAGTCAGTCAAACGCCGCACAATACTCAGTGTCTCTAAACTGAGTTGAACGAGGTGTCTCTCATCTTTGGCTGATGCAACAGCGCACGCCAGGATGAGTCCAACGCATTCGCCAACAAATACCCTTTGCTGGTTGTGACGAAGAATGTTCGGATCGATCTGACATTTCCTGCATACATGTGAGAATAGACTCGTCTATCAGTGACAATGAACCGACTAGAAGTGTCTTCATCCTTCCGAAATTTGGTACCAACTCACAATATCACAGAGCCAAGCTGCGAGATGCAGGGAACAAGAGCAGATGCTATGGGATCTGTTTGTAAACCCAGATCAGACGCAACCGTTTCCGCCCAATCAAGAACATGGTTTAGTTCGTCCATAGTGTCATTCAGTCTGAGCTTTGAGTAGGCATGCAGAGAAGCTGACGATCCTGTGGCTCGTTTGCGCAGATGCCTCAGCGCCTGGACGTACGTCCTCGGTGCCAGGGATTGGTCCCCAAAGAAGAGAACGGAGGATGAGGTTTCGCACATAGCTGAATGAGCTCAGCAAACATGAGCTAGCCTGCATCAACTACGATAAAGGTGAGTAACTTGCAGCGACAGCAGGCTTTGGAATGGAGTGCTCCAGGTGAGTCGCAAATTCCAGTAGACTGCGTGTTCGACGAGTGCATTCGCTTTCGACGAACAAGCTTCCCAGACAGAAGATGGCACTTGAACGTCTGTCTGGTTGTAACCCACCGGGAGGGTGTCCCTATAATTCCAGCCTCCCCGCGACATGTTCCTCTGTCACGATGACTGAGCGGAAATCGGGTCTGATGGTTCGTCCTACCCATACCCCCTTGCAAGCTTCTTACGGCCGGCCAGGTATCGTGGTCACTTTTGCACAAGTTCCTCGGTTTCGTATGGTCGCTTGCTCAGGGCAAAACTCAAAAGTTGGTCTTCGCGAGTACGCGCGAACAGCATTGATCGTCCCGCCAAAATGACTCGTCACAGCGGTCAATGAACTTTAATCCTGAGCTGACCGACCGGACTTTTCGGACACGGCGATATTTACGACGACACCCGAGTCCCGAGGGCAACCGGCATCGCGTAAAACACCGCCAGTTTCTTCCACTTGCAAGGAAGACGGCGCAAAGCAAAACTCTATGGAAGACGCGAGGGGCAGACTCCACTTAGGAACTTGGCATAACCAAGCACGGCAGGAGACAATGGGATGATTTGTGTGTTAGGGTGAATTTCCAGAGTCCTATTAAAAAGGATGGGCATACGTCAGCCTTAGTGAGTGGCCCATGAGCTTTTCTGTCCAATCTTTCGTGAAATGATCTGAAAAAAATGGTATTCAACACCAAGACTGAGTATTCGGAGGTGCATCAGAGCGAAGAGGGCTCGGATGGGGAAGGTAGCCCCAGGATGCCACCGCCATCCAATAGACTTACTCACTCTGGGTACCGCATGCTCATGGTATCTACTTTCCTGTGCTGCATTGTTTCGGTGGCGGTAGGCTTCTTTCTGGGCACATACAGCTTCTCTCTGGGTGTTCGACAGACAGCATGCGTTCCGGAGCCAAAGAAGGCTGATCCGGCCACCGGACTTGGCATGGCGACAATCGATGAGGCGCCTTTCATCACCGATGGTATGTTCGAAGTCTGTTGCTGGACATAGCATACCACTGACACCAAATTTGTAGTGCCCCTGGTCCGTAAGAAATTTGAACATGACTCTTCGTACAACTTCACAGCTCCGGGTGCCAACCAGAAATGGCTTGATCTCATCTCATGTGAGTCTCATTGCAAGCCGATCATCTTTTTGCGTTCCACCCTTGAGAGGCCAAGTTCATCTTCCTAACAATTGCTGACCGCAAATTCGATAGTTGGCAAACCATTTGTTGCGCTGAACGACCCAGCCAAGTATGGATTGCCCGACTATTTCCATAAAGATGCACTTCAACCTGAAGGATTGCAGCCTGTTGCTTGGAATGTCTTCCACCAGCTTCATTGTTTGGTACGAGATCTTGTTTGACAATTCGCGATGCCTTGCGGGCATTCACTAATAAGTCGGCGACCAGGTATGCATTCGCACAACGTATATGAAGCTGGCTTTGGACTTGGACGGCGGCTACGATGTCTGTACGCGCCAGCACATTGAACACTGCTTGGAGAGTCTTCGTCAAGTAAGAATAATTCATGTGATCGAAGTCTTGAGTGTAATGCTAATTAAGGCATCGCAGGCCACGATGTGCGCAGGAAATATGAACATGGAGCGATTTGAATTCATCCATTATCCTGGCCACGATGACTTCGTCCCTAAGCTGGTCGGTCAGCACGAAATGCACACATGTCGTGACTGGGAAGCAATCAAGGGCGTCATCAAAAGAGTGAGGGCTGAGAACATTCCCGTCGACAAGTATGGCAAGCGTGTTTCTCAACCTTAATTTGTTGTTGCAAAAGTACGCAGCGCTGTGTTTGGGCAGTTATCATAGCTTGGTTGCAAACGCTCCTATCAGATATTACAGAGGGAGATAGATCGCTGTTAGAAATTTAGATTCCCGGCCGGCGGAGGAATGTGTGGGCATCGTGATGATTCAGCAACCCTGTATTCAACATTGAACTATACGTGAAATATGGCGTTTGCTGGCTCCAATATCCAGGAAAAGGCACGGGATGCAACGGGACCATCTTTTCGTTGACACAGCGCTTTTGCGACATTGCCATCTCCAATCTAGAGCCACATGTTGATGGCCTTGGGACATCTAGTGCGTTACTTGGTAAACCTTGTTCTCGAAGCAATGCTTTCTCCGTTTTCTAACAATCTCGCTGATCCTTACTCGTGGGCTGTCAGTTGAAGTTTGCTCAAGAAAACGGGATGAAATTGTACGCCGCCGGAGCTTGTCACAGATCCTTACACGGTTCAGGGACTTGCCTGTTCCCGTTGCCTTGAGGCTCGCCTCACAATGGTGAAATTTGCTAAGGTTTGGACAAGCAACGGTTCGGCCGGTGGGATGGGACGGACTCCACCAGAACCGAAATCTACGGTGAGCATCGTCATAGTCTGGGAAAGTCTCTTAGATTACCGGGACAGTCGGCAGAAACATTCATGTCGAGTCAGACCCGAGACCAATAGACCCCAGCTTGGCTGCTGCGCCCCGCGCTCCGACCTTCTGGCTCCGCGATATCCTCGCGTTCCCGCCGGAGTTCGGGCAGATGGGTCCGTGACAGACGACGCCAGTGAGCTCCATTGGGCTGAGACCGACACATTTGGGTACCGCTTCACACAGTAATATGGGCTGTTTTTTCCATTGCCCGTGTTGAAGAGTACCCGTGAACAGTCCTTGACATACCTATTTTCCATTTGCGACACGTCTCTCAATTTCAAGATGTGGTCCCGGGCGAAATGGGTGTTCAGCATGATGCTCTTTTCTTGGGCACCACCGACACCTGACGCCATCAAAAAGGATGAGGAACACGAAGCTGAATATGCCGACACGGAAGAATATCAGAAGGAGGATACCAGTAGTTTCAAGGGCATGCTTTCCGATTGGCAGAAGGCAGAACCCCTGGGACTGCAACTTTCACAGTGTTGGCATGAAAGTTCAGGACATTCAGGAAAGGCTCAACTGAGAGGGCATCGACTTGCTCTTAGCCTTCTCCGATGTCTTCGCAGCGGACTGGTTCTAGGGGGTTTGATCGAGCTCGCAGCCATGTTGACGGCCGCAATCCCGCCAACTATTCTACGCTGGCTTCTCGTGGCTTTAGCTGACCCAACAACGAATCCCGATCCCGCCACGTCGAGTAGTACACAAGACGCTCACAAACCACACATTATACGCACCTCGCACAGCTATACTCTGGTGGCCACTATGGCAGCCACGC